ACGCCATATTTACAAAGTAACACACAATAAAAGCAGTCTTTTTTTAATTTAAATACTGCTTTCACTGAGACAATAAAAGAAATAATCACAAGTAATAAATGCAAATTTATACTATAAAATAATATTTATAAAGCACTATAGCGATTAAATAGTCTGTGTGTTATTAATAATTCTTATATTATTAGGATGTTATAACATTAATAATAAAGTATATTATCTCTGTGTGTTGAGTATAATTTTGTTTGGCATTACAGGATACTTTAGCTATAAAATGCAGACACTGCCAGGTCAAAATATGTGTACAAGCGGAAGCCAAAAGTTGACTTGTACAGGCCTGGTGTGAAGCCTGGCTGTTCCACTTCAGTGCAGTGCTGTCCCTGGTGAATTTACACTGTTTCTCAGCACCATGCAGTCAGTATAACTCCTTTGCTTCTAGGGTGTAAACTAGCTCTGAGCAAGCTGGCTAGGGTGTTTAAGTGTCACTTCATTGAACCATGTGTATTTGCCCTTTGAGACTGTTTCAATACAGGGATTTCAGTCTGGCACTCCCTCATCTTAGACGAAGGCCCTACCCTACTTGCTATTTTTAGGTTTCTCGCTCTTCCCCCTTCCTGTCATAAAATTTTTGAGAGGTCTTGTTTTCTCCTGAGGGTGAATGGAAAAATTCTGAAATCTTAATAATGGTTAGATGTGAGAAATATTTTACACTGAACTCATTAGACATTTCATACCTACTCCTCACGTCCTCAAGACAGCTCATTGCATGATGGTCTGCAAATGAATTCTTTAAGTATAAATCATTTGGATTTTTCCCACTTACTGAAAAATGGAGCTTGCTTTCCTTCAGAAGAAAAAGAAAAATTAAATTCTTCTTGATTCATCCTTGAAAGAGAGGAAGAAACTTTCGGCCTCTCCAAGGAACAGTTCATCAGTCATGCTGAGAGACTGTTTCACCTACTCTGTTAATATTAAAAAATTATTAAGGTGGATTTAGAACTGTACACTACAAGTATATTACCTAAAGTAAAATTGCTTATTTTTTGATTTGCCACTAATGAAAAGAATAACTTGTTAATATACAGCTATTAGAAACTTGAAAATGAAGCGTGCTTAATATTGAATTTTCTTTCTCAGCCACCTGCACACAGATTTGTTTCAGATAAAGTCAGCTTTTATGTATAGTTAATACCAGATACATATTGGTAATCTAGTCTAAAAACACTTGTATGTGGTTTCATAGGGTTTTTTTTTGAATATGAACTCACCAGAAAATGGCAGTTCAGGAGCATGTGCTCAGAGCTCCAGCCTGTGCTTACTTTATACACTCTAGGCACTGCAAACAGTTATTTTGTTAAGCGGCAGAGGCATTGGGATACTTAGCCAGTGAGGGTTTTTCACTAGAGAGAGCTGCAAGTATCACAGTGGGGCAGAAAATCATAAATGAGTTCTCAACAGAAAGTAATCCCAATGTTCTCTTTTTTATGTGTTAGTGTGGAAGCAGGGAGCAAAACCAGCAAAACTGAAATCTATTTACACTCCTAAGTCCTTGTAAAGGGAAACCATCTCTTCACATGTGTTGCTCTTACCACTTTGCTGTTCCCTTTCTCGGTGGTTCCCCTTGCATTACCACAACAGAGTCATTAATACTGCATACCAACAGTGACTCTTCCCCATTAAAGAATTGTGGATGCTGGGGTGATCATCTTCAGGGATTCTGGATGTCAACAAGGACTGGAGTGCTGTTACTTGATAAAGCTGTGCACTACTCTTTCAAACATGGCCCTAGATTTTTATCCAAATACAGGTTTTGTTAATAGAAAGAAAATTAAAATGGTAGAACTCGACCTTCTTTAAGAAAGGCACATGTGACAGGGCTTTAAAGACAGGCTTAGAGCTCAAAGGGGCAACAAAAGAAAAGAAGAAATGATATTTTGTGGTCCGGGGTTTTTGATGAAAGGTTATAGATGGAGAAGGAAGCAGTGCTACCAAATAGCAGTCAGAGGTGAGAGAACAAACATCTTGCCTGTTGTGCATACAGTGGGATTTTGTTTTATACCGTATGCCCTGGTTCTACAAATCTGCTTTTAGGTTAAAGCGTAGGTGTGTCTGCTTAGGAGCAGCTCTTTGAAGAAGCTGTAGTTGTAGCATGTCTGTCATTAATCAGTCTGGAGATCACTCTCTCATTCAGGGAAAATTAAACTAACACTTAGCCAGGGGGTGAAAAAACAAGGACTCATTTTTCAAGTCTTCTTACTGATGAACAGATATCTTTCAGTCACACCAGCTTCCTTGTTTTCCTTTTTCTGATTCTTAATTTACTGTATATTTGAAATCTATTGGTAGACAGTGACTACCATACAAAAAATATGATTAGATATATATGCTTAGAAGATATATTAAAGATTACAAAGGTAAAGACATAAGCAAACAAACCCATAATGGTAGTTGGAATAGCTAATAACGCTGACCACAAAATATCAGATCATCATTCTAAATTATCAGCTATTAAAGATTAATTTGTTATTAAGTGTTACTTACAGCTTTACTACTATTTTTATAATGTGAGAATTATTACTGATTTTCTGGAGTAAAAAATTTAACAGCTTCTTGCATTGCATGCCTTTCCTTCAGACATATTTATAGCACTGCTGGTCTGCAGAGCATCACTGCTAGAAGTTTGGAAACTTGTAAGACTACATCTCAGATGACAACAAAAAAGATATATATATTTCAAATGTAATTGGAGCACACTGATCAAAACATACGAAGATAATCATATATAAAAAAAAACCTCTTTAAGATTTCTCTGTTCTACAAAAATGTCAAGTCCCCAGGAAATGGCTCTATAATAAGAATTAACACTGAGCAGTCTTAGAAAGAAAACATTCCTCAGGCTATGTAGCCTCTTCCCACAAAAAAAAATCCACTTCCAGTTCACAGAGCCTTCTGTAACGGAAGACTCATAATCTCAACAACTTAACTCCACACTAAGGAGAGGAACTTGGGAGCTACAGATGACACCCCCTGGCCATTCCCACAGCAACACTAAATACAGGAATTTTACTTTGTCACT